AATGCGATGCCAATACACGAAATCCTTTTTTTTTTTTCACTAAAATCAATTCCCCGTTTAAGATTTGTTTCCATAACGTGGTTTGTTATATTTATCCACCAACTTAGAAATTTTTTTTTTTTAATTTTTTTTTTCAAAATCACTCATTCTAGTAATTTTTTTTATAACATTCTTGTTTTTATTTACCATTCTAAAACGCTAGGTGATGTTTCTTTGGTGTGTCTTCATTCTTTTATTCTCTTTTTTTTTCCATTCTTATCTTATTCTCTCTTCCACATCTTTTTCTCTAATTCTCTCTAAAATTTTCTTGGGATATCTCTTTTCCTTCTTCTCTTTTTCTCTCTTTTCTCTAATTAATATTCTTCTCTTTCTTCTTTACTCGCCACAGAAAACAATTCTAGATGGCTAGAGAGAGAGTGAGAGAGAAGAGAGAGAGAGAGGCCGAGAGAGATGATGAGATAAGAGGGGAGCAAGAAAGGCATATAATTGACAATTAATTTGAAGGACCCATTAATTAATTTATTTGGTCAAATAATTTAATTTCTTAAATTCTATTTATAAAATAAACAAATTTTCTAAATCATTGAATTAATTTTGAAGAAATGTTTATCCATTCAAATCATTAAACAAATTTATAAAGTCAATAATTTCAAATGTTTTAAAATAAAATATTGTTTTAAAAAAATAATAATAGTAATAATAATAAAATTTTGTTCATTTAAATGAAATCATAAACAATATTAAATCATTGAACAAATAAATAAATTTTTTGGTCAAATTCAAAATCAATCATTAACAAATAATCATTTAAAAGATTTTTTTAAATTAAAATTTTGAAAATTGGAATTGAGATAAATGGAATCTCAATCTCCTTGATTTTAGTCAAGAATTGTATTGGTATTCAAATTTGAAATTTAATTCAAAATTTATTTACTGAAATCTCTCATCAATCTTCTTAAATCGTTCGTAGTTTTAATTATGATTGGATTTCAAAACTAACTCTCGTTATATTCCTAATTTAAATTTTAATCAAATGAAAGAATCAATTTAAAAAATCTTGGAGAGAGAGACCGAGAGAGGGAGAGAGAGCACAAAACATGGTAGATAAATATGAACGAACCACGAGCAAGATATCAGAACTGAAATGGGAGTGAGAGAGAAGAAATATAAGAGTAGAAACTAAAAGAA